GCCTCAAATTCCTGAGCTCAAGCAATCCTCCTGCCTCAGCCTCCCAATTAGCTGGGACTACAGGTGTGAGCCACCTTGCTTCTTGCACATATTTTTCTATATATATATATTTTTAGTTGTCCAGATAATTTCTTTCTATTTTTAGTAGAGATGGGGTCTTGCTCTTGCTCAGGCTAGCCTCAAATTCCTGACCTCAAGCAATCCTCCCACCTCGGCCTCCCAGAGTGCTAAGATTACAGGCATGAGCCACCGCATTCACAGCCGTAATGAATTTTTCTACTGTCTTTTTTTGTCATGCATAAGACTCATCCCCACAAAATTCATGTCCACAAAGGCCAGGATGATGAAAAAAGTATAATAATATTCCAATTTCTGTTCTGGATGAAGACGTACAAATGTTAAGCCTAAAAATAGAAACATGTTATTTTATTTAAAAGCTTTTTGCAAAAAAAAAAATTAATAAGAGCAAACACTGTGTGCCACGCTCTAAGTACTTTACCTACATTAACTCATTTAATCCTCATAACAACCTTATAAGGTAGATACTGTTACTATCTCATTTCACAACAAAGGAAAGTGAGGTGGCAAAGACATTAAGTTACTTGTCAAGGTCACACAAGTAGTTAAAGATGGTCTGGGATCTGAACTTAGGCAGTAATATAGTTCTAAAAGTCCCTATGCTATATGACTTCTCCCAATGTGGCTGCTATAATAATCGTTCATGTGGCATTTCATAAAGAATCCAGAATATCATCTGAGATTAGCATGTAAACACACTAACATTTACCTCTTCAAAAATCCCCCTGGAAAAATCTCCACAGCGTAATGTGCCATCATAGCTCAGTGACAATATGTGGGCTGGATTGGCAGGTGAGAAGTAAAGACAGCTAATTGACTGACTATGGGGTTGAAAAACATAAATTGCATCTTCTTTAGGTTGCTGGGTCTGAAAGAGAGTTGCGGGTGGGGAGAGAGACAAAAATTAGTGAAAATGAATAATATTTTCTGTTGTTATGTCATTAAAGTATTTACATCTGGACTATACTGTCTTTTCTTAGCCTATAATTGAACCCACTCTCCCATTCAGAAAGTCAGAATAAACTTTATACTGTCACTAACATACTTTTTTCTAATTTTCAGTTCAACGGTATCAAGTCACATTAATTTTAACAGTGTCCAGCTTTTTGTGACTAGCAAACTAGTTTATAAATTACTGTTATGGCCGGGCACGGTGGCTCACGCCTATAATCCTAGCACTCTGGGAGGCCGAGGCGGGCGGATTGTTTGAGCTCAGGAGTTCGAGACCAGCTCTGAGCAAGAGCG